CCTACACGCCACTATAATAATCCTTTTCAAGTCCCATTTCTTTCAATATAATGCTTTTACATATTTGAGACCTTCCACATATTTGCTTTATTTCATAGACCATACTACTGTATGTCTTATTCATATGGGACTTCAAGTCATAACTCTGCTATCATAATGCTTATGCATCATAGAGACCTTCTATATTAATGCTTTGGTTCGTCAGACCTTACTATGTTAAGTCCCTAATATAGGACTAGTCATTGTGCAACCTTAGTACTAGCAGTCGGTCAGCCGACCACCCCATATATATGTACAACCTTGGGTATGTGTCTCCGACAACGCCCCAATATAAGGGTACATTACAAGAACACGTTCATTAACTTAGAAATTTTCCAATTATTACACGAACTCCTTCATCAACTTAGAAAATTTTAATCCATTTTTTCTATTATATTACAAATGTTATTTATCTTTGTTATTGCAATATAATCGCCTTGTATTTATATGATTTGATATATTTTGAACATTTTAAGCAGGTTTTTAATAAATTTAGAGATTTTTTGTAACATTTTATGCGTTTACTAATATATATAATATTCAATATTCCAAATGGATATTTTTGAACTCTATGCTTATTATTTGCATTTTATTGTTTAAATTATAATTTCTATGACATTTTTAAATGTCTGTATAATGAATTTAATTATTATTTATTAATAATAATTATGAGGCGTCACAATATGAACAGGCAAGGCATTCCAGAGCAGTATGGACTGCACAGTAAAAGAGGAATTAAAGAAACTACTCTTATGTGGTGGAATACGAATTTTAAGACTATTTTGGGAACGGAGAACTCTATCATGAGTAGAATATTGGTACTGAAAGTTATCCTTAAGATAAGAAGGAGAATTTGGGTCATTTAAAATTGAATATAGTACTTATAAAATACGGGAGCTACGCCTTTGACGAATAGAAAGCCATTTAAGCTTAGAACGGTACTGAGAAACTTATCGAGAAGATATTGAGATAGATCTGGGTAACACACATCCGCATAATCAATAATGGGTAATATCAAAGTCTGGACAAGTAGAAGTTTAGTTTTAAAACGCAGAAAGTTTTTGAGACGGCAAACAGAACCTAAAGTGGCAGTAACTTTACGGCTTATTTCAGCAACTTGAACTCCCCAGCTTAAGGTATGGTCTATATGCAAGCCAAGATTTTTAACAGATTTACAAAATGGCAGCAATGTTCCATTGTAAAATACGGGAGAAAGATCATCGTTATTAATCTTGGCTAATATTCTGCTACTACCTATAACCATTACCTTACATTTGGAAGGGTTAACCGAAGCATCATGTCTGTACGACCAATCTCTTATGGCATCAAGGTTGTGGTTGATTTTGTTAATATTATGATTAAGGTCATTCACACTAGATCGCACATAGAGAAGATGATCTGCATACAGATGGTGCGAACAGTTGAGAACTGAAGTAATAGAATTTATAAATAGAGAAAACATTATAGGAGAAAGTAATCCGCCTTGCGGCACGCCTGTTTCAATGTCAGCCCATGTTGAAGACTGTTGTCCTAATCGAACTGATTGCTGTCAGCCGCGAAGATAGGATAAAAACCATTCCAAAGCTGGGATTGAGAATCTAAGATTAGGTAAGAAGGCTATAAGGATATCGTGGTAGACAGTGTTAAAATCATTTGAAAAATCAACAAGCACTACCACTGTAAGCTTCTGCTCATCCATTCCCATTCGAATGTCATCTGTGACTTTTATCAAGGCAGTGGTAGAACTGTGACCTGCGCAAGAGCCTGACTGATATTTATTCAGCAGATTATGTTTGGTTATGAACATAGAGATTTGCTTGTGAACACTGGCTTCCAGAACTTTAGATAGGTACGGCAAAATTGAAATTGGTCTAAAATGGGTAGGTAATAAGGAATTAGGTATTTTAGGAAGTGGTCGCACAAATGATTTTTTCCACTGAGTAGGATATTGGTCTGAGTCGAGGGAAAAGTTTACGATGTGTGTGATTGCAGGCAAAAGGCACTCAAGGATCATGGATATCATAACCTTACTAACCTCATCGCAACCCACAGCCTTGCATTTAATAGCTAATACTGATTTCTGGATCTCATCCTCAGTCACAGGTAAAAGTGAAAAAACGGAATACAAGAAGGCATGGATTCATTGGAAGCTATTGTTGTAGAACGAACTGTGGGATACAAAGGAGAAGTAGAGATAAAATGATGATTTATTTCATCTAGAGTGATTGATGGACCATGATCAGATGTAACAGCCTTACTAATACCCAGTGTTTTGAGAAATTTCCACACATCGGTGGTCGAAGAATTTGTAATATTGCTATGGATATAACGGCGTTTAGCATTTCGTACCATCTGATTGCATCTGTTTCTTAGCATTTTGTAGCAATCCCAGCTCTCCTGAGTACGATGCTTCTTAAATTTCACAAATGCTCGATCTCGCCTGGTCATTGCCACCTTTACGGCCCTAGTCATCCACGGGGCTGGTGGACGCTTTACTTACTTGATGTTTCGGAGCATGATTGTTGTACAGACTAAGAACTATATTATTTAGCACGGAGACTTTATCGTCAATAGAAGTTGATTTAAAAACAGGGGTTAAGTCCATACGATATGCGTCACTTTTAAGTTTATCAGAATCCATTTTAGCAAAATTACGAATATATAGTACTGCGGGATTGTGCTTAGGAGACACAAGCTTATATGGTATATAAGTAAGGTCATGTCGTGAAAAAGCAGGAGCCGATAGTTGTCCGTGCTTAATAACATGATCGGGAGAAGCTGTGATAATATGATCAATCCATGAGTCATCAGTGTCAGTGTTGTGGTGAGTTGTCTCTAATGGGAGAATGTGGAGATCGACTGACTCTATGACTGAACGAAATTTTTGAGAACGAGAAGAATTTCTCAACAAATCAGTATTGAAATCACCCATTATTATGCAGTGCGTGCACTCAGATGAAATGGTAGAGAGAGCACTTTCAAAAGCGTTGAAAAAGTTAATAGCAGGTGGATAGTATACTACCCCAAGAATTGCCCTTACACCTTTCATATCAATTTCCAGAAACAGAAACTCCAATGAGGCAGAATAAGGAGATGGTGAAGCTAAAATTGTTTTAAAAGGAATATTTGCTCTCAGGTATATGGCGACACCTCCACTTCCTTTTTCAATCCGGTCGTTACGCACAAGAACAAAGTTATTTAAGGGATACATGCTGGACATTAATGAAGGCTTTAGCCAACTTTCTGATACTAAGATTGCATGAATACAATCTATAGAAAAAACATCTTCAAAATAAGAGTAATGACTCGGTATACTCTGAGCATTAACATGACATACATTTAGAAAAATTTTACAATGAGTAAGTAAATTAATAAGCTCATCACGGAGGGAGGGCAAGCTATTAGTATAATTACAAGACTCGAACGAGACATCTGAATCAAGTGCAGAATAAAAAGATTCATCATCCGACGTAGCTGACATTAATTAATATGTATATGATAAATATAAAACAATATGTTAAACAATACTTATATAACACGGAATATAAATTACTTAAAGTAACTAATAAAAATACGTCTCAATTCAAATATATCACCCAACAGTTGACTGATTGCAAAAAGCATAATGAATAAAATATACAAAGATAATAATAATAACAAAAGGTAATCAACACAAACTAAGACTACTTGATCAAGCATAACAAGACCACTAAAGTTTAAAGGTTAATCTAGGTAGTTTAGTGACTAAATTAACAAGATAAAGTAAAGTATATTTAATAAAAAAAGTATAATCAAAATTGGTTCGCATTCTGCGAAGATATCGCGTAACATACAAACAAAAAATACACAAACTCGAATTGAGAACCTCCTCCTTTTTGAAGACGGTTAAAAATGAGAATGAAAGAAAGAAGAAAAAGATAAAAATTATAAAGGTCAAAAATTTTTGGGACACTAAATAGTGATGAATCCTGGATAAATAAAAAAAAATTAATGTCACAAAAACCTGATATCTTCCAATCGATAATGATAAAAACCATCTTTATAAAAAATGTACAATCTGAGTAAGATTGGCGATGATTAAGTCGCCTCCAAGTATAACGATTGAGATACCTTTTTCCTATAGACCCATTTCCAGCTATGAACTATAATAGACTGATGAAGAAAGTGAAGATGATGAGCTCGACGTTGCCCTCGCGACCGATTAATGGCGGCAAATCCATAACACAAAAACATATATTTTATAGAGTGGTGATGGGAAAGATCATTATCGGTGCGATCACCTCTGTGCTCATCAGTCTACTAGCTCAGCGTGGTGATTATGGTAGGTTTTAAACAAGTCCCAAAGTGAACTTAAAAAGGATGATGATGTGATATGATGGAAGGTGATATGATACAGCCTTTTATGACTGCAACACAAATTGGTCGGCTCGACCAGGGGATAATTCACGCTCTTGCAGAATATCAACGTGACAAGAAGTGACAAGAACCAAGGACCATTCTTACTGGTAATGAGAAATTTCATCTTAAAACCCAAGAGTTGTTAATTGAGGATAAGAGAAAGTGTCTATGGGCGACATCATGCACTAATCACCAGGTAGACTGAGTGCCGTTTGTCGTCGTTTATTATGTTTAATTTTAAAAAATAACTCAAATGTAAGAACTTCGTTTTGATTAGAAATTAAATATTAGAAATATTTCTCAAAATAAAGTTAACATCAATTTATATTTATTATCTCTAATAATAAACCAAAAATGTCTCTGCTGCTTTTAAAATAAAGTACCAGAAGATATACACGGTCTGCCAATTACTAAGTTTATGTTTTTTTTTTTTTAAATAAACAAAGACAAAAGGGTTATTATAATATTATTAAATACAAGGTTGATAACAAACCCTGGGAGTGAAATGGTAAGGCACATATTTTGTAAATATTTAAATTCGATGAAGACGACGCGATTCTTACCTGGGTATTTATTCGAGGTTTCTCACTTTCAGGGAAATGGTGTAGAAAACTGGCAAGGAACGCGACTGGATCTTTTGGTTTTATGTTTGCCACTTCGGTTAAACCTTTGATCAAAGGATCTCCGAGAGCTGTGAAAATAGTGTTCGCGTAAGCGTCCTTATTTTCAACAGGTTTCTGAGTATCCATTTTTATTTTTTATTTTAAATGATTCTGCTTACACTTAGCGAGGTATCTGCCTTCTTCAGTATGAAAGACGGGAATGTCCAGGTGACCGTTGGCTGCGTGATTCTTACCTGAAGTACATTAATTATTCAGTGATGGCCTTCTTTTTGTGTCGAATATATATAACACCTGTGTTTGTACATGAAAAGACACACCTGCATGTGTGGTGGTAAAATGAAAAAGAAATGTAGGTGGAGGCGGAAAACGTACGATTCTATTAGTTCATATCGCATAATTGATATGCATTGATCGAGTGTCACGTCACGTTCAACAACATTTCTTTAATGGTTTAATGGATATTTTACCATTAGGGTGGGTATTAAACGGAGCATTTACATATAATGTGAAAAATTTTTTTTTGAGGAATACATTACAATAGTGTGTTGAATGGTGATCTCGAAAATTGCCACTGCGCCTACTTCCGAATACTCGCAGAAGAATTAGATTCCGTAGGAGACATTATAGTGTGATAACCTTTGCGCTTACCTTGAGGCGGTCACTTTAGGTTCTATAGTAGTAGTATTCGTATCCAATTTAGCGCTTATATAATAAGATCGGGGGAAAGTTAGGTAAAATGTTACAATGGAGAGAATGACAACTTGTATTTGTCAGTATCTCAGACCAAAAGATCAACAATATGTGTTTTTACGTACGTAGTCTGGTACACTAGGCCCGCGGTCACCAATAAATGAAATAAGTGCACAGTAGTAGCAAGTTGGTTTCAATAATATGGTTGATTTCGTAAATAATTATTTAGGAAATGAACGAACCTTCCTAATCAAAATATTATACAGCAAAGACACACAAAATAAAAAGGAAAAATGTGTTTTAAACAAATATGTGTTTTAATTTTACTTAAAGAATGGGGTTGGTGTTGGAAAGACAACAGTGGCCGATGGTGATTGTGTAATAAAATACATAAGCTTCTGTTTTTTATATCTGATGGTGACAAAGCGTGAATGTATGCAAGTCACGTCTATTTTTACTACAACACGCGCAATGTAATAACAATTATATACTGACCTAAAATTAAAAATAGGGACGTCAAACATGTCATCTCCAAAACTGGCAGTTCAGAGTACAGCTCACTTTATGTCTTTCCAACACAAAAATATTAAAACTCTTATATAAATCCCCACTTTCTATCAACTAATATTTCTTACAATACTAAAAGTCATTATTTAAATTTAGCTTATTGGTATTCACGCAAATTTTGGTTGTGCAATTCTGCTAAGCTATTTCTTTTTCTTTTGAAAATATTCGTTAACATTGCAGTTAAATGTGCTGAATTCTGCATTGATAGGTCCTTTTCCAAGTGAAGAAGATTAGTAACTGCAGTTGCAAAATCATTGAAGCAATTGGACTCAGTTGTACTTAAGCATTGGTAGTTGCTAACTCTTGCTATGTCTGCGTTTAATGTTTCTCGATATTGTAGACCTCTCACAGCACACAAATGTTTCATATTATCGGAATCTTTTGACAATCCGGGAAAGTTAACTATCAAACTAAATCGGATTCCAACACCCAAGAAGGTTGGACGACTTGATAAGTACCCAAGTTTTTGATGCCAAACAAAGTCCAATCTGTCATGGAGATGGGACATTATAAACCACATTTTGCTGTATGTTATACCAATTTCACCAGAAGCGTCAGTTGGGGTAGACACTAACACACGTAAATGATCATGCACATTAATCCAAATGGCTATTGTTTTATCGTCACTTACAAAAACGCCACGACCATATGGCCAATGCCTACCATGTAATCGTGTGCAATCGTCAATTTCTTCTTTATCACATAAAGCTATAAGTAAGCCATTCTCAGCTAACGTTGCACATATATCTGATGGTTTCTCTAAAACTTCGTTTAAAGTGTAGTACGTCCCACCTTTTTGATTAGATTCCGGATAAAACTTTTCTATTAAAGATGAAAATTTCTCATGCATTAGTAATGTAGTTATAATTCTTTCGACAGTTTCCAATTTTCCAACCTTGAGATTTAATGGCATTTCAAAGTCGCTTAAATTTCTTGAGCACTCAATTGATCCAGATATAACAAAGTCATCACTTGGATCAACATTTAATTCAATAAAAGGTTCAGATGCGGAAGTCGATATTGATACTTTTGTATCGAAGTCTGATGGAGGATGTATGGGTAAATCGGAATTAATATTTATATTGTGAAGATCTTTAATTAATGGTAGTAAAAATTCATGAAAAACTTCGTAAACATAATAATCTGGCGCTGTTACACCACCTGGAAAGTCTTCCTCTACAGTTTGAACAACATTTTTATTGTTCGGTAGTTTTTTTACGGCCGGCCATATGACGTCAAAAAGGTCATGGTCGAGTTTTGTTACTCTGTGTCTTATTTCTTCAAATATAGATCTCTTTAGAAATCTACCCAATACAAACGGTGGTGTGGCTTTATTTGATGAGGCAGAAAGGGGAGTCCGAGATGGTCTAGCAGAAGCCAGAAGACGATAGCAGCGTTCTAGTATATCTAAAGCTTCTGGTGTGTCCAAATCCCGACGTGACGAAACATGATCTTCAGGAACTACGTTTATGAAATAATTAATTGATTTACTTTGAAAAAACAAATTGATTTTTTTGAGAACTATATGTTATGTACATACCTTTATCCGATAACATATTTTGAGCTATCTCATTACTTATACCATAATCGGTAAATAATTGTTCATAAGGTAATAAATTTGGGTTGTTTAAATAATCTTCAGTTGAACGACCATTCTAAGAAATAAGGAAACGTTCTAACAATGATATTTCACACAAGGAAAATTAAAAAAAAATTTACGAGATTTTTATCTTACATCATCCAAATCTTTTGCATTAGCACCAAGTTGTTGCAACAAATTGTAATAATGCCCATTGTCTGGTATTACTGCAGCGTAATGTAAAGCTGTTCTTCCTTCAAAGTCGACAGCAGATAGGGTTTCAGGAAACCTGTTAGTAAACTTTATATTTTATACAATAAATTTAGTGCAATATGCATGTAATGGACCAAGTGATTAATAGGGCACTATTCATAATGTCCACACAGCTAGAAAAATGCTTGGCGGGGCTAGTAGCCGTCGCTTGGTCAACTGTGGTGAACAATAAGGATCCCACGTGGCTGGCTATGAGCAAAAGGAGTGTTGGTATGGCGATGCACCTCTTGCCCTATCCTCCGGGACTCTAGCGAGACCACACCGCTGGTGCCGGTGCTGGTTGTGGAACCTTAATCAGCTGAGGTTAGGAAGACTAGTGCTTCTGAGTACTTTTTTCCTGACTCCATAGTCTTCGAGTATCGGTCGAGTTTTGTGGTTTTTGGTGGTGGTCGAGTGGGAGTTTTAGTCGAAGCGAGTCCGACATTAGCCGTTCTTGTCTCCGTAAGGCGGTTACGCGTAGGAATTTCTCGATGTAAAAATAGATTATGACCAGACAATGTGAAAAATAATTAAGTTTAAACCAGTATTAATTACATAGCCCGATAATATTATAATAGTGCCCTGAACAATCACTTGTTCCATAACATATATAACAACAATACTTATTCAATGCCTTTCATGCTTTTTCAACTGATTCGGAAAAGAACAACTAGGCAGGTGAAGTTGAGGGTGACTCCCTATTAAATGGAGTGACGACCTGGTAATACATACAGGAAGTCAATGGATGCAGATGGCTCAGGACCGTGCTTTGTGGCGTTCCTTGGGCCTATGTTCAGCAGTGGAATTGTGAAGGGCTGTAATGGAATGGACCCATAATTTATATAAGACTAGGGATACGCCTCGGCTTCGCACGGGTGATTTCTAGATCTTGACAACAACACCACTTACAGAGTCAAATTGTAAATCTAAACCATCCAGGGACCCACTTGAACGCACACAAAAAATTTCATCAAAGTGGTTCGAGATGTTTTTGAGTCTTAGCGAGACTAACGGATTAGCGAGAATAACGGAGCAATTGATTTTTATGTATAGAGATTTTTGTTAAGTATTAACCTACCTTCCGCCAAGATATTTTATGATGTTTGTTTTCCCACACACGGTAGCTACGTGTAACGGAGTAGCACCGTTTGGAGATATGGGATCTCTGGCAATTGCGAATTTTCTTCTATCTAGAGCTGTTTGCAGATCTCTTATATTACCTTCTCTTGCTGCCAAATGAACACGATTGATTTTTTGCTGCAGAAAATATAGTTTTTTTTAAAATAATTATGAAATTAATAACTTCTTTATTTAATTTTGGCCTATTTTATAGCTATTTGATTCACATATAACTTTCAAACAAATTGAAGTTCGTTCAAAATTGTATTTTAATTTTTGCCATTTAAACGAAATGAAAGTGAATATCGAACATTAAGCTTACCATATACGTAGGTACATTTTCTAAAAATGCTTGAAGTTCTGCATTTTGGGAACGTCTTCCAATTAATCTGGAGCCCTCACCATTGAGAACTAAAGTAGCTAACATTTCCATATTCGCACTATTTATTAAATCTGTTACTTCTGGATCAATTTCATTATCCTGTGTAATTTAAAAAATAATCGATTAAGACGTATACATTTATATTTATACAGTTATCATGCATAAAATTGCAAGTACGCTAATATTTTTGTGAAGGCGTTTGCCAACTATATCTTGAAAACCATGTAACTTAACCTAAAAAGCTAGCAAATTATTCTATGACAGTGGTGTTACGAAGTGTCTGTGAAAATTGCACAGTGCAACAATAATGCATCTATTCTAAAGTACACCACAATCAACTAAATAATTTACATCATTACCTTTCAGTTTGTAGATTTTTTGAAACTTGGCTGTATGAATTATACTTACAACTATAAGTATATCTCCGTGTACAGAGCCGTCTTTTTGTGTCATACTGGCATCTTGTGAATCTTGTTCAGCATCACCACTGATGATGCCTTCTATAAGACTTTCCTGAGTATTTCTGCCGTTGTTCTGGTTTCCTTAATTAGTAAAACAACCAAAAATATTTAACTTAAAAGGGACCCCTAAAAATCTAATTAATAAAATTTTTGTTTA